GGAAATTACTTACTTGGATGTAGAGTTAAGGTCAGTTGATGAACTGGGTTTAATTTTTTATGACCAGATGCTCTATTAGTTGCTCATTTTTTTTTCTTCCATCACCTTACCTTTAAATAGAAAGTATACCAAGATCCATATGTAAGTGGTCAATGGGTCTGAGAAGCGGCATAAAATTTCACTTGTCCATTATGTACAATGCTGTCTTTCATAAGAGTAGCGTGATCTCAATAGAACGTATCAAAAGAGGGAGAGGTAGACCAAAAGCAACAAGACTTGTAGTAATTGCTAGGAATCTATATTATTTCCTGTAGATCTGGCAATGAATCTTATTGGTTCTAGCATGTCATTGTGATTGTTTGCAAGAATCTTATTGGGTACTAGCATGTCATTGGTTCTAGAAGTAGTTGTTCAACACGAGTTTTTAATGAGAATCCTTCTCTCGGCCCTTGAAAGCAAGCATGCCAAGACTGAGCCATAGAGAACAGTAATTCAAGGGATGCAACTGCACGAGTCTATATCCTGTCTACATATTCAATTAAGTTATGTTTGATATACAGTACTGAATAGAATTGAATACTATAATGGACAAAATTTTAGTTCCATTCTCTTTCTTAATGACAAGTCCATTGTTGTCTGGTCTATCTTACCAAATATGCAATGCCATTGCAATTCATTGATTGATACCCCAAGATGTTTTGCAGTACTAAAACTTAATGATGTTTTCGTGAATCTTGTTTGACTGGTCACGTGATCTATGATTTAGCCTCTTTTTGACAATTATTATTTGAAAACTTTTTTTCTGCATACTTATTTTCAACCTCACATTTACACAATAAAATATTCTGCAAGGAAACCCAACACTTTTCCTTACTTTTTAACTACACATTCTCGTAAAAATTACTATTCAAAACTTTATTTTGCCCAAGTAATGGTTGTCAAACAGGGTTTTAATGTGATTTGTTTCTTGGTGATAAACATGCAGTTCTAATGGAAGTCATGGACCTTTCTTTTTCACTTTGGCAGGGTATCGAGAGGTGATAAGGGTAACCTGTTTATTCTCAAAATGGTGGATCCTTTGTATGAAATACCTTCCTAATGCATTATACGAAAACAACTCAAGTACAGGATTTGCTTTTTGTGACTGCAGAAACAATTATACTAGTAAACTTTCAGCTACATCTTTTTTTTTTTTTTTTTTTTTTTTCCAACTCCTAATCTAGCCTTTTCTAGCTAGCAAACTATATGCACTGTGGATCATAATAAGAATTATTTTTTTCACACTTTTTACCTCTAGTTATATTTAGGGTTGTTAAGTGCGACAAGCTTCTTGTCAAGCTGCTGGCATGGATCTAGCAGTGAATTGCTGGTCTCATCCTCACCAGCAATTTTTTACTTAAAAAGTAAAAAATGATGCGAGCCAAGCGGCTTGATTCTTCCCATTTAATACCCCTAGTTGTATAAAACATTCTACGGTGAATGGATTTGACATTTGAGAGGCAACAAAGGGAAATTGTTTATATTGAAAATGGTTGATCCAACAGATGGTCGAAAAAAAGGTCTGCATGTAAATATTACCAAGTAAATCGAAAACTTTTCTTTGTATTTTAACGACACATTCTCCAAAAAAATAAATATTCCAAAATATATTTTTAACAGAAAATGAGGCTCAAACAAAGGCTTAATCATGTTTACTCATGCTCTCTCAGAATTTAAATTCGATTGTAAACTTTAAACTTAAATTCTGATTGATTTAAACTCATACATGTATCCGTGAATTTTGTTCTTCGTAGATTTCATTGACAATGGGGTGATTAACAAAGAAAATAGCATTTGAAGACAATTGTACCAAGATATAATTAGATCTTCAATAGTCATTGTAGAATAACGTGATATATTTAGTCCTTATTTGGTGTAGATTAAAATCAGATTTTTAGTACATTTTGATAAAAATTAATGAAATATGTGGTAGAAAAGTTGTGGGTCCCATCAAATATGTTGTTAAAACTAATTGTTGACTTTGATTTAAATTAAAATTTAGATTGTAATCCGTACCAAACATGGACTTAATAAGATGGATAGGAGTATTTAAGTTGTGTTTGGTACATTTTATTAAATCGGAAGAAAAGTTAAATTATTCATGTCTACATTCGGTGCAATTAATGTCAAAATTAAATTAATTCAGCCAGCGGCTACTAATCAAGTATAGGAACAGGGATTAAGAGCACTCACAATCGTCATAATTTACTTCAATTATTCTTTTCAAAAAGAAAAGAAAGAGACAATTAAAAAAATACGTAAATTTACTTATAAGCGAATGAGTAAACTTACTTAGAAGTCAAAATATTTTTGAAATAAAATATAATTATCAAAATAAAAAATAAGTCGGTGAGGTTTCCTATAAGAGAAGTAACCACTTTTACTTAAAGAAGAAAGTTATAAATCATCCCTATTTAGGGATGTCAAATGGGTTGAGCAGCTCGTCAGCTCGACTCATGGGAGGTTCGAGCTTGTCAAATGATGAGCCCAAGCACGAGCCGAGCAAGGCTCTGCTCATCAAGCTTGCCGTAGCTTGCGAGCGGCTTGTGGGCTCGTAAAAAAATGTGAAGAAAAATGTTGAAAATTTTCCAAAAAAAAATTAATAATAATAATAATCGAGCTCGTAGCACAAGCCAAGCTAGTGTGTTTAAGGGCCATTGCCACCTCTATCCCTCTCGTCACGAGCCAAGCTTGTGTGTTTAAGGGCTGATCTCGGCTTGACTCATTGTCACCTCTATTCCACTAGTAATCACAACAAATCATTAGAAAAAATAAATAATTGAAAAACTTCCTAACAAATTTTCTTGCTAATACATTAATATTTACTGAAAATTTAGTTAGTCAATAGAAATATTATCGACTCAACTTTCACCTCTGAAATACTAATTGAAATTATTCATTGGTAAAAGATGTTATTGACAAAAAATAGAACATCAACTATATAAATTTCAATTCCTAATGCAGCATGTTGGTAGTAAGTGAAATAACTCCCCTTTTTTAAGACTATAATTAGGAAAAAAATTTACTTTTTACTTATAAGTAAATTTTACACCAAAACTTACACCAAATGAACTGTGTTTAATCATTTTTTTCTCTTTTTTATTCTAAATAATTCATTTATTTGAAAAATTATTTATTTATTTATTTTACAAATATATAAATTACTAAATAAATAATTACGTTAAATTAACTAAAATATTAAATTAATAATCTCCATCATTTACTTTGACAAATTAAAAGGGGGGGGGGGGGGGGGGGCAAAAAATAATTTT